TTTCATCCAAATTCTTCAAATATTTATTATCATTTAACAAAATTAACTAATTTGATATGATTAGAAAAAATCAAAACAGCTAAATTTCTTGAAGAAATCTCAAAAAAAAAAAAAAAAAATTAGCAACTTAATTAAACATTTTGAAATTTCATCCAAATTCTTAAAATATTTATTATCATTTAATAAAATTAATTAATTCGAATTAATAATTGTAATTTTTTTTAAACTCTATCCAAACATTAATTTCTATCAATTAACGAAACAAAATGCATAAAAGAAATAAATACAATAATAAAGCAGCAAAAAAAGAGAGAGAGAAAAAAAAAAGGAAAGTTTAAAAAATTTGAAACATACCTTTGGACTTGCACATATTATAATAATTATCATCCATGCGATAAGAATACATAAGCCAAAAATGAAAATTTTATTCGTTTCCCTGTCAGCGTCCATTATTTTGTTATTTTGTTACGATTATGATTATATTACAATAACAATTATTATTATTATTATTATTATTATTATTACTATTATTTGTTATTAATATTATTACTATTATTATTACAACAATGATAATAATAATAATAGCAAAACAATAATAATAACAACAATAATAATAGCAATAGTATTAATAATAATGGCAATAATAATAATTACTATTAATAATTAATAGTAATAATAATAATAATAATAATGATAATAATAATAATAATAATAATTACTATTAATAATTAGTAGTAATAATAATAATAACAATAATAATAATAGTAATAATAATAACAATAACAATAATAATAGCAATTAGTAATAGTAAAATAATTCAGATATCATAATTAATTATAAGAATTGTTTTCTGAACACAATATCATTCATATAATAATAGGAATGATCAATGAAATGATCATTTTTATGTTCCTTCCTTTAAATGATCAAAGATTAATTAGTTTCTAATGATTCATTATCATTCCCCACTACATTCACAACCATTGTTGTTGATTATTTGCTGCTTGCAACCCTCCTTGCAGCTCAGATTGTTGCTACAAATACTAACTGATCATGGCCACATTTCTTTCTGATATTTATATATATATATATATAAATTTATCAGTGGCTGATGTGTCTGCATGTGTGTCTGTGTGCGTGTCTGTGTGTGTGTCTGTGTGTATGTGTATGTGTGTATGTGTATATGTGTGTGTGTGTGTGTGTATGTGTGTGTGTCTGTCTGTTTGTTCGTTTATTGTCTGTCTATTTGTCCGTGTTGTTTATCTGCTGCATCAGTTGTATATTGATGAAGCCCCTATATATCTATTGCTATTAAGCTTATATGACCCACCTCTGTGTTATTACTATTTTAAAAATAAGTAGTTGTCTTCTTTTTTTTTTTCTCCCCTCTCTCCTCCCTCCTCCCGCTTTTTTTTTTCCTTTCCAAAGATTTATTAATTTAATTAATTAATTAATTTTATGGATAGATTAAAAAGTGAGATGAAAAAATAAAAAATGTAATAAAAAGAAGAAAAAGTAGTAAATGTTTCACATTTAAAAAAAAAAAAAAAAGAAAGTAGAAAAATGTATTTGAATGTAAGTGAAGAAAATTGAAAGAAGGCAAAATTACAATGGATGAAATGAAATGAAAGGCTTAAGTGTAAGATTAAAATAGTATTTTAAACTAATTGGAACAAAAATTATTTGCATTTTATTTCTTTGTTAGCAAATTTTATTTTATCGAAAAATTAATTGTAAAAAACTTTCCAATCAATTATCTAATCTATTTATTATATTAGTTCATTTTTCCTTTTTTTTTTCTTTTTCTCATTTTC